CCCCAAAACCCCAAAACCCCAAAACCCCAAAACCCCAGTTAGCTTTAAAGTTATTGAAATAATATAAATGGAAACCTTGACCTACCTTATTTTATGGAGCCTAGTGCTGTCTATGGGAAATTTCATGTTGGGATATACTAACCATGCCAGTGCTGTGATTTGGGACTTCTCACCATGAATCTTTGGATTTGACCCAAGGCATAGAGAGGTCTTTATGATATGAGGAAATTTGTTATGTAAGTCAGCGCTAAAAGTGAAAGATATTTCAAGATGTTCATACTTTATGAGTTAAATGAAAAATGGCTAGTTTTATACTGACATTTATATAAAAATGATCTAGTAGTAAAATATTTTGAATAAAACTTACAAAAATGGTTGCATATAAATTTCAGATAGCTTATGACCCTTACCACATAACTGGGCTACTATTTTCCAGGAGACTCATCCCAAGAATTAAAATTCTCCTTGCTCCATTATCACAGTAAAATACAGACACATTTTACAGTTATTTTTATATAAAATCTTAGATAATTTTGATTATTTATGACGTTATAAATAGGAAGAATTATAATTTTCCTTAATTCTATAAAACTGGAAATGTACACAATTTTAGATATGTAGGGTCTACTCTTTCTTGAGGAGTCCAGCCGGACCTTTCTGCTTTTGTGCCGACTTTTAATAGGAAATGAACAGCAAGATATAGGAAAAGAATTTATCTAATCTATTTTATAGTCCCCATATTTGCGACCCTTTCTTCAAGCTGATCATGGATGCTCTCAAAGAATGGCAAAAGAAAGACTCTGATAATTTCATCATTCATAACATTAGTGGGATCATCGATAGCAATGGCGAATAGGATTGAAGCCTTTATGATTTCCAGGTCAATAACCGGAATTGGGTTTGGAATTACTAATGCAACTTCCCCTTTGTTTATCCACGAGATCGCACCGAAATAAATGGAGAGCTGCTTTGTTATGAATCATATTATTGTGGATAAATATAGGATTCACTTTGCCCCTTGTTTTACAATTCTATTTCCCACGATTTGATGCTCCTGATACTTCAAGTCCTGATTACTGCGAGGCCCTAAAAGGAAAGCATATTATCTGGAGGGAGCTAGAAGCAATGCCGATAATCTTATCATTTATTCAATTCATTGCTCTTTTTATGGTATTTAGAAAAGAAAATCCGATTTATAGACAGCATCTTGAATGAAAATCAGGGTCTCTTGGCACAAGTGAAGAATCTGGAGAGACGGAGTCCGGTATAAACTACGAAATACAGTTACAACAGTCAAAAGAGAAATCGCCGTCTCGGATTGAAAGAGACACTTGGACTAATCTCTGGAAACCTACAGAGAGAAGGAAGCTTATTGCTTCATTAATAATTAGAGGAGTTGGACAACTCCTAGGAATTAATGTCCTATTAAATTTTTCTATTTTATTCACAATTGGAGAGGACCCAAGATATAATCTAAGATTCTTCCTATCAGCTATAGCATGCTTCCATTCTTGTCTAGCAATGGTGGTGCATACCTTAGTTAAGAGGAAGCCTCTATTGTTATGAGGGACGCTTATCTGCTGATTCATCTGTTCTTTACTCTTCCAATTGACAGGTAATTTAGAAAGGAGAGGAGAAGTGTTCCTCATGTTTGACGGATATGCCAACACAATTTGAACAATTTCATTGGCAATCTTTGGCTTAACATTTATAATCATGAATGCAACTATTGTTCATGTATATTGAACTGATGTATTAACTGATAAAGGCATGTCTGTTGCAACATCTGGATTATACTTCTTCAATAGTTTTACCAGATTTCTACCAACACTAGCACTCAATTTGCTTGGATGGTTTGGAGGTGAAACAACCTTTATCAATGCAAATCGGGTTAACTTCTTCATGTTTAGTGGATTTGCTATTGTAGGATTTTTCCTTATTCTTATCTTCGTAAAAGAAACCTTTAATAAGAGCCGGGCAGAGATTACCCAAGAATTTGGGAAAGAATTCTACAGCAACTCGATCGAGATTATTCCTTTAAAGACTTCTGTTAATTACTAATAAGTTCTCATAATTTTAGGGGTTTTGGGGTTTTGGGGTTTTGGGGTTTTGGGG